ACATTTACGGACCAGAAACAGCACGTCGTCCACAACAGAACTGGAAATGAGCTAATTCGATCGGGCAGAGTTCCTGCTGGTATTCAGTTTTACATGATCTGTCAAGTATTTGTGCCTGGCTGAGTGATGAGCAAAAGATCTGACCCCTGGCGGGGCACGACCGCAACTCACGCTTTCCGGACGAGGGCGCTATCCGTTACGCCAACAGGTTGAAATTACTCTCAGCTTTCAAAAAAGGGGGAGGGGAAAGCTCGCGACGTCACACCGGCTTCTGACAATCTTAAACGAAGTTTTCCTATCCCTGCACACAGTAGATGCCATTACAGACTACCCCCTCCCCTAGATAGCCTGTATTTTGTTGTGCACTTTCACATAATCTACTCCGCCCCGCCCGCCCACTGGATTCATAGGAATTACGACATTTCCAGAGAAGTTTTGAAACTCAGCTTTACTCCTATAGTGCTGCCCACTATTGGAAACCCCGCCCGCTCTCAGGAACTGCGCCCGAAATCGTTCTAACAGGAAGATTAGGGAAGCAAACCTTACTGTCCGGACCGGCGGTAAAAATATGCCTAGGGTGCCAGAAGTACGTGTATATCTAGTGTGCAAATGAACCAGAGCGTGAGAAATTGCAAGTTCGATGAAAACGGTCGATGATGCAGAATAGACACCTCTGCGGTGGCCTATGCTTCCCCCCTCCATGTCAATTGCTTTACGTACAGATTCTTGCATATAGTACTGCTCCAGAAGCAGATAGTTACCTAACAACTCCTGAAAGAAACTCGAGACAATTGACGCTCCAGCTCAAGATACGATTTTCTGGGAAATATCGGAGCCTTACCTGCATTTTCGAGCCAACAAGACTACGATTTAGCAGCTGATCGAGTTTCTTTTCTCTCTCATTCTTACGTCGCAATTTCTCCTCTTCAAGGCGTTTCTTCTTCTCTTCATCATCTCCAAAATCATCGCCATTCACCATGACAAACTGAATATTTCTACTTCTTCGAAGCAATTTCTGAAGACTATGCCCCCTCTTACCTCTTCTTGATCCGCTTCAAGGGATGCTCCCTTGAGGCGCCTGCGAACAAATCTCCAGTACATCTCAGTATGCGTATTCATTAAGCAAATTTCCGATAACAATTTGTCCAATTCAAGGGCGTCCAATCGTTCCACTAAAATCCTATCTACACATGGGAATAATAACGGGGGGGGGCATTCAAATGTACATCAATGTCCCTACCCTCTCCTTTATCGCTGTGACGATCTTCTCGCAAAAGACGCTGAACTGCTTTCAGACGTTTATCGAGCTGTCGTTTTTTCGCAAACGCATCGATTACTTTTCCAACAACTTGGTCGATATCAACCTTCAAGAAAAACCTTATCTCAGGGCAGTTCGGCGATGAGGGGGGGGGACATTTTGCACTTTTGCTACTTCCCAACGACGTGTCGAGCTCACAGGGGTTGACAGGTCACATGGTAGCTCGACGAGTTTGTTTGTTTCCCAAGAATTCGCAGGTTTCACCGAAGTGATACTTGTAAACCGGAACTAGTGAAGCAAAGAAAGTGCAAAATGCCCCGCCCCCTCGTCGTCGAACTGCGCCCTTATGTACACATTTTGTTCCCAGATTTCCACATTTTTCCGCACGAAACTTAGACTAACCTGTAGCATGTTTATGAAATCCAGCAGCTTATCAGGGCCATATGAGCTTTCAATAAGCGGCTGATTCGTCTCTAGCAAAGCTGCTATACCTGCAAATGTAAACTATTCGATGGATATCTGAGTATTTTGCTGGCCCGACGACTCCCGCTAGCTCAGAAATTTTCATTCCAGAAACGCAAAAATTCAAAAAGAGCCAAAATGCTACTTCTCTACGACCTTCTGGGGCCCAGCACTTTCACCAAGCCCGAAATACACTTTGTCAAAGGCACGCCCCTGGATCAAAAATGGTCAGTTGTGCGGTTCAAGTACTAATTACAGGATGGTAAATAACACAAAAATGAAGGAAAAAGCAGAAAAACCCGGCAAAAGTGCCCTATATAGAGCCTCAAGCTCAATCGCTTCAGCGCGTACAAGACAACCAGTCGGATCGGCCGGCTTCGCCGGCGAATGGTCGAAAAAATTGTTTTGAGAATTACCGCACTTTACCGTTTCACTGCTTGTATATACCCCCCCTAGAAGACAGTCATCAAAATTTTCTATACCGCAATCCCGTCACTGATGAGGAAGCGCAGAATAAACGGCACCAACCATTTGGTATACTCCCTACGGTTATCCCTAACTAACTTCATCTGCCCAACCATTGCTCAGTTTCACTTACTCCCCATTTCCTGGAGTTTTTCGGATGTGTTTTGAGGGTTTTTGTCCCCGGCACCGTTCACTTCGGCGAACGCCCTGCCCATCGCGGGTGTGCTTCATTCATTCCGTCCGCCAACT